TATGGCGAAGTAAAATCTTTGATAGAATGTGCGAGCAATAAATAAACCCAGTAAATTAGAAATTTACATAACAGAAAGTGATTATATTGCTCACATCAAGGAGTCACATGTAAGGGGGGAAAATTTAAAATATATATTTTTATTTTATATATTAATAAACTTTTTGTTTTCTTTCTCTTTTTTTGCTGTCACTATCGTAATCAACCTTAAAAGGCTAATTGCAAAAACTTTATACGTAACAACCAAAATTTATTAATAACTAAAAACGGATAAAGGGCAAGCCATAGTAATAATGAACAAAAGTGACTACCTTTTAAAAATGAGCTCCTTGTTGGATGATTGAACCACTTATAAAAAATTAGACAAAAATCCTATTAAAAAATTAACAAATAAAATTAATTCTTTGGTAAAGTCTTGGCGCGATAAGAATGTAATTGACGAAACAACGTATAAGGTATTAAATAATACAAATGGAAATCTCCCCCAATGCTACGGGCTGCCGAAGATACATAAAACTGGCGTTCCTCTCCGAATTATTGTATCTGCACTTGGCAGTCCTGTATACAATATTGCACAGTACATACATAAAATTCTACACAATACTATAGAAAAACCGAAATCGCATATAAAAGACGGATGGTCATTTGCAAAAAAAGTAAAAAATATGATCATTAATGACAACAAAGTTTTAGTTTCATTAGATGTAACATCATTATACACCAACATCTCTAAAGAACTTGTAATTGAGGCGATTAAAAAGAGATGGAACACAATCTCACAGAATACCACATTGAATTTGTCACAGCTTACATTCGCAATAAAAACTATATTAGATTCCACATTTAGTTTTAATAGCCACTTTTATGAACAAGTTTTCGGCAGCCCGATGGGTTCTCCATTGTCACCCATTTTGGCAGATATTGTCATGGACGATTTAGAAACCTTTTGTTTAAATTCATTGACTTTTAATGTACCGGTGTACTATAGATACGTTGACGACATCTTCACGATTTTACCACGCTCTAAGGTTAATGAAATGTTATCAGTTTTTAATGCGTACCACCATCGCCTAAAATTTATGAAATTGAAAAAGACAATTGTTTAAACTTTCTTGACACGAGTATCATCAGATGTAATGATAAGAGTCTAATCACTAATTGGTATAGGAAGCCCACTTTTTCGGGAAGATATATCAATTTTCTTTCCCACTCAAATATAAAATTAATTGCATTAACAACTTGGTCAATAGAGCCATTCTATTGTTTGACAATAAATTTCATAGTGACAATATTAAAATTATTAAAGATATTCTAACCAATAATAATTTTCCATCTCATGTTATTAAAAATAAATTAAAAAAAGATTACATGTAATTAATAATATTAATAATAGTTTTGACAACAAGAGAGATGAAAATAACAATAAAAAATTTGACGTCTTTTCATATTATGTTACCGTATATCAATAATCTGACTGATAACATTTCTAAAACTCTGAAGAAAAAAGGATTAAAAATAATTTATAAAAGATTCCAAAAAAATTAAACACGCTAATTAAACGCGGTAAAGATGTATTACCGAAAATGAACAAAACAAATGTAGTATACAAACTAGAATGTAATGATTGTGACGCGTCGTATATAGGACAAACAAAAAGACATTTGATTACTAGAGTAAAAGAACATTAGAATAATATAAAGACATGAAACAAGCCACTTGGTGGTCAGTAAACATAAAACCGATTGCAATCATGACTTCCGATGGCTTGAATCATCAATATTTTACATACCGAGAAAAATAGACGAAAAAGAGAGATCGCTGAAATGTTCTATATAAAAAGACAAACAAATAAAATTAATTTACAAATAGACACTGATAACCTTAGTCCTATTTATGACAACATTATTCAAATGATTTAAAAAACATAATACCAGTCTACAGTAGCTAACTTGTCGATATGACAGGACAACTTTCGTGTTTCTATTTTTAATTATATAATTGCTGAATAAGAATAAATATGTATTACAGATCAAATTTAGTGTTAATGTAATGTTAATTTCGCTTGCCAAATTATGTATTTTTGTATTCTAGCACTTGAAAAGGAAACATAGTGTGTACTTATTTTCAATAAATGAATAGCCAGTTTTTGGTCGAATTAAATGGCATCTTATTATTTGTGAAAAATTTATCACTGGCGATCAACAATTAATTGTGAGGATTATTAATATTTTACAACAAATTAATATTATAACATTACTATTATTCTTATTGCTTATAACACAATATTATTTTCCTTTTAATTATATTTTTCAATAAAAACTTTTATTACCCTGAATGATATTTTAAAAGTAGTTTTCTATTTATTTGAGATATTTTCTTATAAATCAAAAGAGACACACATTGCTGCTAGTCCTATACATTATATTATATCTTCACTAAAATTCTCTCAATATTCATAAAATAACTTTGATACTTCTGACAAATGTATTAAAATCGAGAGTACTGACAGTATATACGTAAAAGTTACCACAATCAAATATAAAAGTAATGATCAGAATTCAATATAATTTTCGTATAGAATACACATATTAAAATAATTAAAGAAATTGTCCAAAAAATAGACCAATTTTAAACAAGTTTGTTTCGCAAAATAAGAATTTAAATTTTGAAAGTTTTACACAGCTTCAAATATCTACTCTCGAAAAGTCATTTATTGAGCAAAAATTGTCTCGCAAGTAATCACAATAGGATCTCTCCTAATAACAGAGTATCCAATAATAAATTAGGGACACTCGCACTACGTATATATATGTATATATACGTGTACAAATATATATTCACAAATATTTACCGCCTCGCAGCGCGTGGCCTTATATCCTCACTCGGCGGAATTCTAACTGCGAGAAAAGACGCCGCGTAGCGGCAAAGGTACGAACGAGTGCACGACTTTACGGACGGGAAAATTTTCCGCGAGTACTTTCGCGCGCAGTCTTGTCTGGTGGTGTAGCATATGTTACAGGCGTTTTATTGTGGAAATTGTGGCTTAAACACCATAATTATATTTTGTGTATATATTAATTTAAAATTTTTATTTATAAGAGCCATATTATACACTCTTTTATTTTACAAAACATTGATCTAATATTCAACAAATCGAAAATTAAATATTGAACTAATGAAAACAGTTTCTTTCAAATGATTAAATTGCTCAGAAACATATATAGTAAATGCAAAATATAAAACTACACTGACTTCTTTCTTAAAGATTTGAACGGCCAATTTCATATTCATTCGAAACATGATATGCCTTTTTTATTTTTGTGCTCTCCAATTCTCAAGTTGCAAGAATATATTTTTTAATAAATTTTTTGTATAACATAACTCTATTAATCTCACAACGCAATAATCGATTTAACATTTCTACATGAAAAAATATTCATGTAAATATATGTTTAGAAATATATGTAAATAATACATATATTTAGAAATATATGTATGTATATTTATATTTTTTTATTTGTTATTGTTTTATAATCATTACTATATTTGCAAAATATAATTTATATGTATAAATTTATATTATATATATAAATTATATTATACAAATATGTATTTATATTAAATTTTTTATTTGTTATTATACTTAAGTAATAACTTACTTAATAAAGTAATAACAAATAAAAAAATTTATAATTTAATTTTATTATTATTCAACACATTTGGATAAAAAAATAAGAAATTCTAGAACAAAAGAACGTTTTATTTACAGACAAGTAACGCAGTTTACTAAACTTATATTTTATTAACGCTCGTATTTTTATTTCTGATAATAATTCTTTCTAATTTGATAATAGATTTGTAATTAAGTACAAATATGTTAGAAGAAATTCTGCTCGAAATTCGTGTGATGATTTTACATAATGAAAGTAATTTAAAAAAAAAAGAAATGATTTTTATTAAGAAACACAGGAACTCTATTAATTTGCAACGAGATACGAAAAATATAAATGTAATTTATGACAATATTTTAAACTTAATTTAACAATTTTGACTTTCTTATGTTTATTTATTTTTGTTCAGTTTGCTTCTTTTTACTTTATCCTTCAATAATGTTTCTTTTCTCGTTATCAAGGCCATTGAAACTAGATGGAGCGACATCGAAAATAATACTAGTTTTAGTTTTGATCAATTTAAATACGCAGTGGAGTTAATTTTAGATTCGACTAGCTTTTCTTTTAATGGGATATTTTATGAACAAACCTTTGGTACACCAATAATTCACCTTTGTCACCCATACTAGCAGATATCGTTATGGATGATTTGAAAACAAAATGCCTCGATAAGTTAGATTTTCGTATTTCTTTATATTTTAGATACGTTGACGATATTTTAACAGTGATTCCAAAAGATGAAATTGATGTCATTCTTAAGACATTTAATGAATATCATGATCGCTTAAAATTCACATATGAAATCGAAACTAATAACAGGATAAATTTTCTAAATACTACAATAATAAGAACACAAGGAAGATTAATTATCAATTGGTACAGAAAACCGACGTTTTCAGGTAGATACATAAATTATTTGTCAAATCATCCAGAGAAATACAAAATTAATACCATTATAAATTTAATGGATTACGTTATCAGGGCCGGTTCTAGCGGAAGGCAAACGCGTGCCCCGCACGTGGGCGGCCGATTTAGAGGGGCGGCCGAAAGGCCGCCCTCGGAGTCTTAATGTTTTACAAAAATTGAAAACAAAATCACAATTTATAAAACAATAATAATGTGTAAAAATAATCAATAGAATATAGTATAAATTCCAATAAAAATATATACATTAATTATAATAAGAGCATTCTCTCTCATCAATTTGCCTCTCTCTCTCTCTAATCAATAATATATATAAAGTCTCCAGCAGAGTCTATATTACTGATTACTGGGCAAGCGATTATGTTTTGTTTAATGCAGTGATGCCGAGAATTCCCCGACAGCGGAGATGCCAAATTGTAACAGCAAACAGCAAAACAGCACGCTTGGCGTATGTGCTAATCTGCTCCACGACATACATAAAAGCGCGAGCTTCTGCTGTTTGCGTCTGCAATTTGACATTTCTATCGGGCGAGATATTATATTTATACAGTGGAAGCAAAAAGTAGTGAATAGTGAATATCGATACAACATAAAGCAAAAGTAAGTAATGATAAATTAAAAATTTTGTTTTCCAAATCAACGCAATATTTATAATTTTTATAAATATTTATAATTTTGTTATTATTAGAATGGCAGATAGAAAAACCAAGAGACAATCTGGAGCGTTTTACAAAAAGAAGCGAGCAAAAAAAGCAAACGAACAGCAGCAATTAAAAGGAGCTCTAGAAAAATTTCTTGAATCTGATCAAGAAAATTCTTCATCAGTTTTATTATTTGAAAATCCCGAAAATGTTCCAATAACAGCTGATGTTGATTTTCCTGTTCCTCAAACTGAAAACACAGTACCAGATACGGATGTCGATGGAAAAATGGATACTGACGTAGAAGCATCTTCAGAAAAGGATGAAATTCAAGATCAAGTAAAATACGAAGTTCTTGGAAATGAAGATGATTCCATATCTATGTTAGATTTAAATGACCCAGGTACTTGGCCTAATATCATACCAAACAAATGTATCGAAACATTAGTAGAAATAGGGCCTGTTCATATAGATAATAATTATAAATTTCCTGTAGATGAAAAAACTGGTAGAAAGTTTAATATTTTATATTTTAACAAAATTATGGAAAACGGAGAAAAAGTTAAAAGAAATTGGCTTGTTTATTCTATAAAATTAAACCGTGTTTTCTGTTTTCCTTGTAAGTTATTTAGCAGAGAAAACATAAAAATAATTAATGATGGATATTCTGATTGGCGGCATTGTTCTGAATATTTCAATAAACATGAAACTGGTATTCAACATATTCAATGTGTAAAGAAGTGGTGTGAATTAAAATTACGACTAGATAAAAAATGCACAATTGACAAGGTAGAAAAAAATTTATTTGACATTGAAAAGGAGCGCTGGAGAGCTATAATTAAAAGAATGATTGCAATTGTACAATTTTTAGCTGGTCAATGTCTGGCTTTTAGAGGAACAAATTCGCAAGTATACGAACGAAATAATGGTAATTTTTTAAAGGCTGTTGAGATGATTGCTAAATTCGATTCTGTTATGTTAGATCACTTAAATAATGTTAAAAAGTCAAAAGAACTTAAAACTCATATGCCACATTACTTAGGAAATCATTTCCAAAACGAAATAATACACTTATTAGCTGGAGGTATTAAAAAAGAAATAATGCGGATTGTGCAATCTTCTAAATATTTTTCTATTATACTTGACTGTACACCAGATGTTAGCCATACCGAACAAATTACATTTATTGTAAGGTGTGTAAATATAAATATGTCAAATAAAGAAGTTGACATACACGAGTTTTTTTTGGATTTTTATCCTGTCACAGATACTACTGGTGAAGGATTGTATAACTTCCTATTAGAAAAATTATCAAATTATGAGTTAGATGTTCAAAATATTAGAGGACAAGGTTACGACAACGGATCCAATATGAGAGGTAAAAATATTGGCCTTCAAAAGCGCATCTTAGACATCAATCCAAGAGCACTCTTTGTTCCTTGTAATGCTCATACTTTGAATTTGGTCGTAAGTGATGCAGCAAATAGTAGCGGGGTAATATTTGATTTTTTTGAAATTATTCAGGAAGTATATAACTTTTTTTCTGCTTCCACATATCGATGGGATCTTTTAAAGAAACACATTACAAATTTAACACTTAAAAGTCTTAGTGAGACAAGATGGGAAAGCAGAATTAAAGCTATAAGACCATTACGCCTTAATCTAAAGAACATCATTGACAGTTTAACTGAATTAACGAATGATCCAACTCGAGACGTAAAAACAAAAAATATGGCTCATTCATTGGCACAAAAGATATCTTCTTTCAAATTTATATGTTCTATAATTATTTGGCACGATTTGCTTTCAAAAATAGATATTGTTAGTAAAATGCTTCAAAACCCAAAAATAAGCTTAGCCGAATGTGTTCATGCTTTACAAAATCTCAAAAATTACATTATTAAAAAAAGAAACGATGAATATTTTAATACGTTCATTAGTAATGCCGTTACAGAAGCTGAAAAAATTAACGTACAACCAGAATTTCCTATAATTCGCCATATAAAAAAGCCACGTCAATTTTTCAACGAAAGCAAAGCTGATTCGGTTGTAGATCCTAAACAACGCTTTAAAATACATTTTTATTTTCTCATTTTAGATCACATAAGCAATTCTCTTGATCAAAGGTTTGAATTAATAAATGAATGTGAATCTCTGTTTAGCTTTTTATATGATTTCAAAAAAATGGATAATGACGCCTTAATGAAATCATGTATGGATTTGGATGTAAAATTCCAATCAAATGAAAATAATGTGTTAAAAAGGGATTTTGATGGTATTCAGTTATATCATGAAATAATGTCGTACCGGGAAATTTTTCCTGACGCATCGTTATCGAACAATCCCTTTCAAGTTTTACAAAGAATCGTAGATGCTGATTTGTTATCTTGTTTCCCAAATCTTACTATTGCATTGAGAATTTTTTTAACACTGCCAGTTTCCGTTGCGTCTGGCGAAAGAAGTTTCTCGAAACTTAAAATAATTAAAAATTATCTCCGATCTACGATGTCCCAGGAAAAACTAAGCAGTCTTGCACTTATTTCTATAGAACATGAAATATCAGAAAGTATAGACTTGTCAAAAATAATAGACGAATTTGCGTCTCTAAAAGCCAGAAGAGTTAATTTAAAAACGTTACAGTAATTTTGTTATTTACTTTTAGAATGTTTTAAAAGATATGTATCATTAACAATTTGTTTGTCATTTCCTTTATAAATAATAATTAAAATAAAATACACAATACATATTTTACAAATGAAATTATTCATTTATTCTATATAGTACGAATATTTTTGAATTGTCCCAAATTTTTACGGAATAAAGGGGCGGCGAAAAATGGGTCTGCACAGGGGCGGCCAAGCACCCAGAACCGGCACTGTACGTGATTCTACTGTCTAACGACAAATTTCATAGGCAGAATATTGAAATTGTGAAGGGAATCTTAGTTAACAATTGTTTTCCATTGAATATTGTCAACCGCATTGTTAATAAACGCCTCAGATTTTTAAGACACAATATGAATAAGAATGAACCGCGTTGTCAACAGAAATTTGACTTAAAATCTTATTTTACATTGCCTTACATGAACCATCTCAATAACAATATAAAAAATTCTCTCTCAAAGTTTGGTTTAAATGTAGTGTATTCGAAAAAATTAAATAGGATTATCAATCACGGTAAAGATAAGATTTTAAAATTGAATAGAACTGAAGTGATATACAAAATTGTATGTAAAAATTGTACTTTTTCTTACATCGGACAAACAAAAAGACACCTGAAAACCTGCATTAGGAGGAACAAAAATAATATTAAATTACATAAAAGTAATTACTCTGTAGTGAGCAAACATAGAGTTGAATTTGGACACGATTTTGACTGGGATAATTCGTGATAATTTTACATCATGAGAAAAATACTAAAAAAAGAGAAATAGCTGAGATGTTTTATATGAAAAAGTGTAATAATACATTAAATTCTTAGATAGACACTGAAAGGAGAATGTCCAAAAAGTGCGATTTTTTGACCTCGAGCGGAAAGTAAAATTCGAGTTGTTTTAGGTCTCATACATCTAGAATATTGTAAAAATTATAGTGGTTTTTCCTGGAAATGCAGGGAACATTTAAATTCCCTCAGGGGCACTACGGACTCATCCCCGTAGTGTACGGGTGTCGCAATCCCGAGGTACCCGAGCTGGAGTGTGTGCAAAGGATGAATGAGGAGTGATGGGTGTGCAGACCCTAATAAGGATTTGTCCACTGCACTAGGTGAAGGAAAACACTGACTTAACACCCGGGGGGGAGGCCCCGTTAGCTGAGTAAGGCAACCTCCTAAGGGGAAGGAAAACCCCTGACAGAAAAAACCAAATTTCTTGCTACAAATGGTCATGTCCAACAAGAAGAGTGAAGACTTCCTGGGGTCGGTAACCAGGCACCGGCGTGGGGGGGGGGGGTGTAGGCCTGGCTCCCTCCTCGTCGTCATCGAGCAACGGGTCGTCTGCGGATTTGTCGACTGGGTCCGCAGATTGGAAAGTTACAGTGTCGAAACAGCTAATCGACGAGGTAGAGGACCAGCTTATTAAGCTGTCCATTATATGGGAAGACCTGGGGCAGAACGATGACCCAAGAGAGTTAGCTGAGGATATTCATCGCTTCCTCCTGGATGAAGAGATCCGTGGGTTTCGGTTTATTGGCCAATATACTATGTTGGCCAATTATTCCGAGGGGTTCTTGCGGGAGTGTGTGCGCGGCAGAACACCTTTCTGTCGTTATCACAAGTGCGTACGGTCTTTTGAGCCTATCGTGCTGAGTGGCTCGACAGAGGAAGTGGGCACTGAGTCGGTGAGTGACTCAGTAAATGAGAGTGACTGTTCTCAGCCTCTCCCCTTTCCTGAAAAGCTGAGAGGGGTTAGTAGCGGTGATGAACTGGAAGTTGGTGAGCCATCGTTTATCTCTGTCTTGTCGGGTAGCTCCCCGGAAGCTAGGGTGAGCAGAGCTGACAGGGATGCATCGTGGGCTCCCAAAGACAAGAGAGCACTTACGGGAAGGAAACAATACCCGCGGAAGAAAAATGCAGGTAAGTGCACTGCACGTAAAAGAGGTCGCCCCAAAACATCTGGGGATTACGTTAATCTTGCGGCTGAAAGGGAGCGCTTAAATGTCGCCATGAATGAGGCATTAAAATTAGAATACGCAAAAAGAGTGCTGGACCCTTCTTTTGGTCCAACTCTAACAGCGATGGGCCCGAGTAATATCCCTTCGGATGCGGCGTTTGCGGAGGAACTCAGGGGAATCACCGCTCTTGAGTTTCGTAGGTTAGGTGAAAGGTTCGTGTCCCAAGTTGAGAGGGTGGCTGGACTCCCTGGCCTTGGCGAGGTCATGGCCGAGGAGCTCCGAGTCTCCTCAAGGAAGCTGGGAGACGTAATCAGTGAGGCTGTTTCCCGAACAACCGTGGAGGCGGATCCAAGGATGGACTCATTGAGGAGCGAGAACCAGGGTCGTGTCTCAGCTCTGGAACGAGAAGTGGACAGACTGACGGAGAGGATAGGGTTCCTTAATTCCGCAGTCCCCCAAATCGAGGGGTTTTATCTTGGTGATAAAGGAGCAAAGAAGAGACCCCGCCCGCCCTCTTCGGAGGAATCGCCGCCTGTTTCGGCAACGGTGTTGGCGAGTCCTTTGGTCGAGGATCGACCAGTTATGTTGTCCGATTTGTCGTCCCTTCTGGATCGTCGCTTTAGCGACTTGAGGGACGACATATCGATCTCAGTTATGGCCTCAATTAGGTCGGAGCTCGATGGGCGGGGCCACTCCTCCTCTGGGGGGAGTGGTTTCCATGCGTGTGCCTGTGACGAGCAAAGGTGGTAGCGTGACTGCGTTGGGGGCTGGCCCCCTGCCTGGGGGCTCTGCCGCCTCCGCTTTGGCGGAGTTCTCGGTGGATGCCTCTGGTCTGGGGGTCTCCGGCAAGAGGAAAAGGCGTCGTCGTAGACATGGGTCCGGACGTCCTTCACTGGAGGCTTCACGAAAGGGAGAGGCCGTCCCTAAGAGCGGATCGGCTCGGAGAGGAGTTCGTGCTGCTTTTCCTCCTCCCTCCTCGGCGTCGGTGGTTTCACTGACGATTGGGGGGGGGGGAATGTGTGGAGCGCGGAAGTACTTATGCTTCGGTTCTATCTGAGGCAAAGTCTAAAGTGGACGAGGACGAAGGCTCTTAACATCGAGTCCATGCGCATGAGAAGAGAAGTCACTGGCAGCATTTTGTTGTCAGTGACAGGTAAGGATTCGTCGCTCAAAGCGGACGCCCTTGCGACTAAGCTCCGTGAGGTTGTTCCTGGCGGAATAAATATTGGTCGTCCAAGGAGAATGGAGGATGTTCGGCTGAAGGGGCCAATGTGCTCGGTTAAGAAGCAAAAGAAGAGGTTGCCCTGTTGGGAGGTTGTCGGGTGGAAGACCTCAGAGCTGGGGAGATCCGAATGTTCCCCCGTTCATATGAGGGTACGATTTGGATTAGCTGCCCCGCTAGAGCGACACGAAAACTGGTGATGGCGAAGAAGCTTTCCATCAAGGGGGGTGGACGACGCTGGAGGTCACCCATCTGGCTCGTCGTCCGCTCAAATGCTTCCGGTGCCATGGGTTTGGTCACTCGGCCAATGCTTGTGACGCGGAGGTGGACCGCAGTGGCAACTGCTATAGGTGCGGTGGCTCGGGGCACAGGGCGGCCAATTGCGTGGCGCCGCCCCGATGCCTTTCCTGTGCGTCGGCGGGTAAGCCGGCGGAACACCGCTGCGGATCGGCTGCTTGCGCTCGCGTGCGCGTCCCTCCCAAGAGGCGTCGGGAGGGTACGCCTTCTGCTGAGCGCGTTCAGGCTCCGGGGCGTCCCGATGGGGGATCTCCCGAGAGTCCGGGATGGACGAGGGTGGACTGCAGTCTGCGCCGGGGGAAGTCGCCGAGAGGTGGCTCCCCTGTGCCGGGCTGCAGTTCTGCCCCCGATGTTTAGTGTTGGTTTTGTCTTCTGTTTGTCGTAGCGTGTAGCGGTGGGTGCGGGGAGTTCCGGGGAGGTTGCCGAAAGGTGACTCCGTGGTCTCCCTGCCCCGCCAAGTTTATGTTGTAGGTTGCGGCGATGGGTGATTGAGTGCCGGGGAGGTTGCCGAGAGGTGACTCCGCGGCCTCTTCACCCGCGCCAAGTTTATGTCGTCCTTGTCTTGTTGTCTTTTGTTACAGGTGGGAGTAACAACCCTCCCACCTTTACTGTGGTTGGCCATAGTGCCTTACTGTGGGCCCCTAGAGGGCTGGGCCTGTGGCCTTTACTATGTTTCTATCGTGGTTGTGTACATGTCGTGCACTGTTGGTCTTTTGTAACGTCCTGTGACGTTTTGTGTGTGTGGGTGGGTGACTGCGGTCACCTCACTTGCCGGGTCGGCAGGGAGAGGGGTGGGGGCCCCGATCTCATTGCACGTCGACCCTGGGAAGTCCGGGGGAGCTAGTAGCCCGGCTCCCCTCGATGCCCTTTCGAGGCAAGGGATGTCCTCTCCGGGGGGATACCTGTAGTATCCTCTCGGGGGATGTGTCCTTCCTAAAGGACGCCGGTCGGGTGTCCACCGTGAAGTAATGCTAACGCGGTTCCGCGGTGGATATTACCCATATGACCAGGGGCTTCAGTCAGATTTTAGGTCGGTACCCCGTCCGATAGTCCTTCGGGATACTACGGGCGGGAATCCACCACGAAGCCTCCTGGCCCTTCCTCAGGGGTCAGGACGGCGAAGTTTGGTTTAGGCAAATTTCCTGACTAAAAAAAAAAAAAAAAAAAAAAAAAGGAACATTTAAATATCATCATATGTTTAGAGAAAATCACGTCAATCAATATCTCGCAATAAATCGAGATTGCTTGATGTTTCAGTCGAATATTTTGGTAAATATTTTGGTAACACCAACTTTCCAAGATCATTTAGACTGATTTTAATGTCAGTTAATCATAAATTGAATAATATATATACAGAGTATTCTTAAAGTCCGACTTGGGCTCTTTATCTTGGAAACGACTTAAGATACGAAAAAAGTTTCAAACAAAAGTTGTAGGATTATGAGGGGGACATAAGATCGTGCCATTGATTTGACCTTAAATAGTCATTTGAAGGTCATGTGAAAGTTATCTTTAGTTTCTTTAATGGGACTACCTATTTTTCATTACATATTCTTATATGTTATTTCAAAAGCTTTACAAAATCCTATACTAAAATATGTTTTCATGGAGTTCTTGTTGAGTTATAAAGGTTGTAAGTTAACAATTTTTTGACATAAAATGTAAAATATCCTGTAACATATTCAGTTTTTGGTAATCGTATTTTAATACTGTTTTGCATGAAATAATGAGACCAATCAGTTGGTGTAAAAAACGTAATATTGAATATTTTCCCATTGGTTTTTCTTACTGGCATTCAACTTTCTTACTTAAAAAAAAACATAATTACTTATTAAAAAGTATGCAGCTGCATGTTGAATTTTACATTTTTTAAAACAATTATCTGTTTTCTTTATACCAGTTAATTAGTTTAATTATTCCGTGCAAAAAAAGTATTAAGGTATGATTACCAAAAACTGAATATTTTATAAGATATTTTACATTATTATTAACTGGCGTTCGGAACTTGAAAGTTTATTGCCACAAATACCAAATCTCGCCAATGTTCCCGTCCCTGAGCAAGATCCTTCCATTCGCGTCCCTCGTACCTCATTTTGTTAAGATCTATTCTAATATTATCTTCCCACCTACGTCTTAGTCTACCCAATGGTCTTTTCCCATTAGGTTTACCAATTAGTATTTTATATGCGGTTCGATCCTCATTCATACGCGCCACGTGGCCTGCCCATCTTAATCGGCGTGATTTTATGACGTTAATTATATCTGGACTATTGTATAATCGATGTAATTCTACGTTATGCAGTTTTCTCCATTCGCCCGTCTCCTCATTGCGTTTTGCACCCATGATTTTTCGAAGTATTTTATTCTTGAATACTCTAAATTTTTTCTCGTCTTTTAACGTAAGTGACCACGTTTCGCTGCCATAAAGGACTACCGGTAAAATAATCGTTCTGTAAATTCTAATTTTTAAACGCTTAGACAACACTCGCGATCCGAGTAATTTATTAACCGAATAGAAGCAAGCATTCCTCAAATTAATTATTTTCTTAAGCTCTTCTCTTATTTCATTAGTTTGGTTTAAAATCGAACCCAAATACTTAAAACTGCTGACCCGCTCAAACATTTTATCTCGAATGACCAAGCTTCCGCAATTATGAATACTCTGGATTCTATCAGTGATCATATATTTAGTTTTTTCAACGCTTACTTGCAACCCAAGTTCTTTCGTTTTATCTAATAAAGTTTTAGTGTTATCAATTAATGTTACTTTATTATCTCCAAGCAAAGCAATATCATCCGCATATGTTAATAGCTGTGTTATACCGTTTAACCGCAGACCATTTTCACTTTTCTGCATTTCTTTAATAGCATATTCTAATACTAAATTAAACAAAAGAAGTGACAATGCATCCCCCTGCTTTAATCCGCTATGAATGTTAAAAGTTTCCGATATTTGGTTACCTATTTTTACTCTACCTCTAGAATCTTTTAAACAGATTTGAACCATGCTAACCAATTTTTTAGGAATCCCCAGCCGAATTAAAATTTCAAACATTTTCTCCCGTTTAATCGAATCATACGCTTTTTTGAAATCAATAAAAAGTTGATGTACCGGTTGACCAAATTCCCATTTTTTCTCCAAGATTTGCCGAATAGTAAAGATTTGATCTGTAGTCGATCTATTTCTTCTAAAACCGCATTGATGATCCCCACTTATTTCCTCTACACTGAGAGAAAACAATAGTTGCAATTACCATAATTTAACTATAATTTTAAGTGAGTTTAGGGGACAACAATATTTTTAAAGTTATTTTAACATTACAAATTATAGTTAACTCAGTTTTAAATTATTGTTGTCATAACTGTAGCATATGTTAATGCAATCAAATTATAGTTATATACACTATAATGTGTGGTTAAAATATAGTAAATCGTACTATTAATATGATAATAATGGCCGTAATTGAAGGTTTAATAAACAAAATGTTATAGTAACTTATAATATTTAATATAACTATATATATATCCTAAAAAAATCATAAAAATGAAAAGGTCAGGCCATGTTCAAAAGAAGGTACTCAAAAATTTAAACGATCTAATAATAAATTATCACGAAAAGTAACTGATATGTTATTCAAGGTGCCAGTTCAAAGTGAACATACGTAAAGTGTATATTATCTAAATTTAGTAATAATATATTACCATGAAAAGTAACTGTGATATTTTATTCAAGGTGCAAGTTCACATTGAATATACATACATATAAGTAAAACTGATTACAATTTGATTCTAGAAAATAAGTGCGATATGTTATTCTTAGTGCACAAAATATAATAGTCGTTTATAGAGATTTGATTTGAAATTCATACTAGCCCGTACAATGAAAAATAATTGCTCGTAATGCCAGAGTACCAATTTGTTAATGACTCAGAAAAATAACATGGCGGCCTGCTCTCAAAAAACTATGATGTTTCTCGATGTCCATTTAGAAATAATGTCAAAGCTCTTACAAAATAATTACTACAACATTTGAAATACGAAAAGTATTACATTAGAAGAAGATTAGATTAGAATAAAAATTCAACGTATTTTTAAAAGCTCTACACACACAACGAAGTGAATATACAAAACTATATACAAATACCTTTTTCTTCTGTGTTTCTGAAAAAATTGTAAGTCAAATGAAACCTTGCACTTTGAGAACCATGTCACTTACTTTTCAGAGTCAAATTGATATATTTTTTTGTATATTTTAATGATATTTATTTCTCACTTGTATCTTGAATAATTAATATGTAATTTTTTATTGTATATTACGACAAATAATCAGTAAACTTTTTAAGCGTATAGCTTTATTGTAGTTGACCTGAGAACTGTACATTTATAAATTTTACTTAATATACACCCGTTTCGAGCAACAAGGCAAAGTTTTCTGATCAATAACTTACTCCCTGAAAATACGGTATAACACAAATCGGAAGTTGATACGAAAATTCGAAATTTTACTAAAGAAAGATTGGAGGTTTTTAATTTATACAATTTTCACAACTCTTATTTCAATTATTTATTCTACCCATCGAAAGTTTTTTGAGAGCAGGCCGCCATGTTATTTTTCTGAGTCATTAACAAATTGGTACTCTGGCATTACGAGCAATTATTTTTCATTGTACGGGCTAGTATGAATTTCAAATCAAATCTCTATAAACGACTATTATATTTTGTGCACTAAGAATAACATATCGCACTTATTTTCTAGAATCAAATTGTAATCAGTTTTACTTATATGTATGTATATTCAATGTGAACTTGCACCTTGAATAAAATATCACAGTTACTTTTCATGGTAATATATTATTACTAAATTTAGATAATATACACTTTACGTATGTTCACTTTGAACTGGCACCTTGAATAACATATCAGTTACTTTTCGTGATAATTTATTATTAGATCGTTTAAATTTTTGAGTACCTTCTTTTGAACATGGCCTGACCTTTTCATTTTTATGATTTTTTTAGGATATAAATATTATGAAATGCATTCAAAGATAGGACAAAATATAACCCCCATAGCAAAAACACCAGTGATATCATAGTGATATGTTCTAGATGTCATTAACGATATGCGAATGTCCGCTTGTGTCACAATGATATCATTGTGACATTACACTTATTGTGATAAAGCGGACATTCGCATATCGTTAATGACATCTAGAACATATCACTATGATATTACTGGTGTTTTTGCTATGGGGGTTATATTTTGTCCTATCTTTGAATGCATTTCATAATATTTATATAGAGATATAAATTAATGTTAATATTATATTATATCTTTATTTTTTGCTATATAGATAAAAAAAATAGAATCAAATAATGCGATTTACGTTAATATACATTATTATTCAATGGAAATTAAAGATAAAATGACGCTTTTGGATTTTTTTGTATCGCTATAAATAATAAATGAAATACATTCAAAGACAGAGCAGAACGTTGCTTATTGTGAAAATATTTCCGATATTTTCAGATATTCTGATTTTACGCAATCTTTATGAGAATTCTGACAATTTTTATTTTTCACCAGGGATGAGGATAACATCGCTGAATAAATCCATGAAGATGCTGAAATGGAAAATTACGTGGACGACGATAAGATCCAAGAGGACACAGAACGCGTAGACGATATGGAAGTACTGAAGTACTTAACAGAAAGTAATGTATGGTCAACATAATATTTTTTTAAGTACTTTGGAGAAGCAGTATCAAATTTGGGACGTGCTTCACAGGGATCGGCGGGGAGGGGCCGTTCTCACCTCTAATTTATTTGTTTTCTGTTTCAGGTAAAGCCTTGTGTCCACGATCCGAGAATTCGGGCCGAGAAGTTTGTAGCCAATAAAATAGCCGCTTTTCTGTAAAAGCTGCAAATTGATTGGTTACAAACTTCTCGGTCCGAGAACTCGGACCAAATTCTCGGATCGTGGACACAAGGCTTAAGATATGGAGGGGCAAATTTTTTGGTTGTGCCTCACAGGAAAAGGCGGGGATGGGGCCTTTTCCCCAAAAACAAAATAATAATAGGAAAAATTAATAAACCTGAAAAATAGGCCAGATAACGAGCAAAAATTTTTTTAGATGTAGAAATAATTGAAACTTATTTATTTGTATTATAAAAGTATGATGAAGTTCAATTATTTCTACATCTAAAAAAATTTTTACTCGTTATCTGGCCTATTTTTCAGGTTTATTAATTTTAAATTATACACGAGCGTTTTTATTTTTATGGTTTTTTTATAATAATAGGACTTAAATAAGATCGAGTACACTGAAAAAAAATTTTGTTAGATTAACAAAAATTCTGTTCGAAAATGGACGAAACGGAATTCTGGTTGAATCTACCAGAATTCCTTTAATACAACAAATATCTTATTTGCACCAATAAACTGATTTGTTGTACAAACAAGATGCTTGTTGCATTAAAAGGAATTCTGGTAGATGTTTGTTACAAAAAGAATTCTGGTAGATGCTTGTTGCATTAAAAGGAATTCTGGTAGATTCAACCAGTAATTCCGTTTCGTCCATTTTCGAACAGAATTTTTGTTAATCCAACAAAATTTTTTTTCCAGTGTAGGATTTTCTTGTTACAAGTAGTTTCAGCGGTAATAGTTTAATTTATAATTTAATTAAAATAAATGTACTTTGCGTTTATAATTGATATATTAGTTATTAAACATGTATTGTACATATATTATATATATAATTTTTTTTTATACATATACATTATTACATCATTGTAACATATAAATACGCATATATATATTTATAACTTTTTAAAAAATTATATGTATTTTTTATATGAGATAAATATAATGTTTTTTTTTAATTACTGTTTACAATAATAATAAAAAGAAAAGGGGAAGAAGAGAGGAGCGTTATAAAAATTTTTTGTACTCGTGCGGGTGAGCAGCGACCTTTTCGTAGCTCGCCCGCACTCTGTATCGGGATCGAGGGGTAGGGCCAGGAGAACGGCATTGTTTTAGGGAGAAGAGGACCCGGACAGGCGAACGGAGGAACGACCTCGAAAGGGGAGGGAGCGAGACTGAGCGACCGGCCCGGTGAGTATTACGAACGATAACCTATACACGGTACCGAGAAAATAAGGAAGCGATACTGCAGGAACTCCATTACAGCTTCGATGGGACGAACAGGAGCAGTCCAGATCAGGGAGTAAAAGGCGGCCTACATCCCTCGACAAGGATGAGCCCTGAGGGGCCCGCCACCCACGCCTCGAGAGAAACACGGAGATCTAACGGGATTGATCACCCCGGAACGACTTCCCTCAGCCAAGAAAGGTCGTTTGGAACATCAGCATACGGCCATACGAGGTGTGGACGGGACCGCCGAAAATGGACCTGCTACATCATCGCTCCCGAGGGCTGGAATTTGAATTTGGCCGGCGGAAGTCCGCGACCAGCCGCGAGACACCGGAATCGATACGAGGATCGATTCCGGGTCCGGCGCGGGGCGCAACGCTGCCGCGAAACCTGGCAAACCGGCCGGGGTGGCGCGCATTGTCTTCCCCCTCCCCACCAGCGTACCTGCCGAGGTCCCGCCGGCCCGAAAGAAATCACTGTTCGGCAAGCCGGTGTCCTGCGAGCACACCCAGGGACAACGACCACTACAGCCCACTGCGACGGCGAATCTTGTAAGGCCACCTCCTCGATCGTCCGGTAAGCGCGGATTCGGCAGAGATCCGTGAGTCATTGAGAAAAATAACGATACCGAGCATTATGCTGTAATCTTTAGTACCGAGAATTAGTGGAGAGACTCACGGGACTCACGTCGATTTCCGCGTCATTAAGTTATTGCGTAAATCTTTGCCTTCTTCGCCCTCTCCGAGGGGCACCGAAACGAGTCGACAGTCATATCGTAGTATATTATATTTGTAGCATTGTATCGAGTCATTAATTAACGAAATTTGAGAATTTTACGCTGGATTGGTATATGATCCATTCGATTCCGAGCCGGATACAAAGGGAGGAGAGTACGATATTAGAGATTTCGATAACACCCAGCGATCTCCCAACGGCTCGATAATAAAATATAGCTACTTTGATTCACACCACTTATATACTATTAATTGAAAATATATTCTTATTTTATCCTATTTCTGAGTACAATCAATATCGAGATTTCCTCTCTCTCTCCGAGACTGCGATTCCGAATCTCCTTACGGAAAGAACCACGACACTCTACCCCCTGTTGATACCGAGCTACCGAGGCCGAGCCGTCGTGTCCGCTGATTATTAGTTGAGCTATTGTTGAGTGGTGCGGCCTGACCGCACCTGGCGCCCAAAAAGATACGATACCGAGCATCAGTGATACGAGCAAGTATTGAGAGAAACGGAGAGCGGCACGACGAAGTTGCGCAGCAGTCCCTCTCGCACTCTCTCTCTTAGTTTGACGAGAGAGGACGGAGAGACGGTCGCAATTTGGCGCCCAACGTGGGGCCCTCTCGAAAGAGAGGATAATTAATAAAGGAAATACGTGTCGTTCGGGTAACGGAGAGACAGTAGGGTGAGAGAAATACTTCTCTTTTGTTTTTCTTTCCTTTTCTTTGTCTATCGGGCGCTGACTTGAGTCTCGCCCGAGCCGGGATCTCCGTCGGAGATTCTCCGAGTATTTTTGACTTAATACAGTCGATGACTTTTGTTTATTGCATGCATTTGTATTACTTTGTCCCCAATTATTATTGTTCCCGCGTTATTAAGATTGTTCCCATTGTGCTGTCTCGATATCTCGAGACTTCCCGTCACAACGGGGGGGACTCGAATTTGAGGTGCCATCGCGTTAAGTGCACGAGTACGAAGGAGCGCTACGCGTATGACAGAGAGCGACCACCGACACGTTCTTTGTCGCGCGCGGCATCGTAAACCCGACCGCGTAGTATAGTATTACAAAGGTAGCGCGCTCATACGCCTTTTACGACTTTCTTTGATATATCGAGTGAATTATAGGCACCTGATTGATACCGAGTTTTTCGTCGGATACAAAGTCGGCGAATATTCTTGTCCCAATAGGGGAATAGTATTGGAGAAGCGACGAATTTTTTTTTTCTCTTCTTTCTTTCTTTCGACCTCTTCGCGGAAATATTTACCACTCGTCGAGCCGAGTCTAAAAGCGGGTAACACGTATTGTTCTTGAAGGATTATCGCGTCCTCAGATATTATGGTCAAGATACCGAGAGCTAAGAACGAATATTGGTGAATAGATGTTTACGCGAAGTCCCGAATTCCTTAGCGAGACTCGACTCAGTAACGGACGTCCGTGTATACAAAGAACATTTTTTTTTTTTCTCCCTCACTTCCTCGCATACGTACGTCACCTTTCGCGAACTTGTTATTTTCTTTCTGTTTATCGAATTCGGAATAAGAGTTGAATTTTTTTTTCTCTTTCTCTCTTCTTCTCGCCCCTTCTTTATCTCCTCAAGAGATATTCGCGCCGAGTATTCACGCCTGTGAGTGACTTTCCTATTAACTAGGAATTTATAGAGTATCGTTCGCAACATATTTTCGGGTTCTAGGAGGAGGGGTATCGTGACCAAGCGGCGTAATCGAGGATTGACGGTGTCTAATTTAGACAACGCTCACAAGATACCGAGAAAGAGTTAGTTGGCGAGACAGTTGAGGGAGGGAGCGTACGTTTAGTCAATCCGGTCACGGTCCGCGTACTATCTATCTTCCCCTTCGAGATCTCATTTTCCTCACACCGTCACTAACCATAAAACGAAATGTCGACAAAAGAACAATTTCGGTGGATTCGAAAGTTATCAAAGGAGGAAGTGAGGTGTGCCCTCGCGGAGAGAAAGCTGTCCGTCAAAGGGATCCTCCCCACCCTTAGGCTCGATTATTGAGATACGAGCCGCGCAATTAATAGGGCGAGAGCATATGCCGACCCCTGAAATATCGGAAGCGTCAGACGAGGAGTCGGATACCGAGGAAGGTGCTGTCGGGGGCGAAGCCCTAGCGTGGTCCTCGAAACCGCGAATCAGGATACATCCCCCAGAGCCAACAGAGACGCACCCGGAGCCGCGGAGAAATCCCGAGCCGTATCGCCCTCGCGTAAACCGAATTTCGCCGTGGACGCGTATAACGTAATGCGAAATGGAATTTAAATTTTTCCGGGGCACGCGACGGGGAGGCGGAGGCCTTCCTCATTCGTATAGAGCAGGGTCGGCAATTAATTCCCTTAGATGACGACGAAATATTTAAATGTCTGCCGTTCTTTTATCGGGCACCGCGGCCCATTGGTTCGTCTGAATCAACATCTTTGGGCGTACCTGGGGGCAATTCGAGGCCGCGTGGCGTGCGCGATTTGGATGCCCGAACTTCCAATTCACCTTGCGGGACGAGATAATGCGACGCAAGCAGGGGAAGACGAACCCGTCGCCGATTATATAACCTGCATGCAGGCCTTGTTCGAACGATTGGACCCCCCATGGCAGCTAAACGAACAGCTAAATTACGCGCATAGAAACATGATACCGAGGTTGCGTATAGCTGTGAGGCGTAACGAAATTTATGATTTTCGTCATTAGAAACCCTCGCGTCGC